ATATATTACTATATTTAGCTTATATAATATAGTATATTATTTATATAATTATAAGAAACCTTAATCTTGAGATTAAAAAAGATTCAGGCAATTTTAATAATAATAAGATTAAGAATTTATTATTAATATAGTTATATTTATTTAGAAAGATACTATAAAAGATAAGCTTAATAGATATAATAGTCTATAGTAATAATAATAATAATATTTATTAATTTTACTTTTTATTAGATTTAAATACTTATAAATATAATTAATATTTTTTTTTAATATTATAAGTTCTTTCTTATGTTACAGAAGAATAAACAGAAATAATCTCTCCATATTATCTAGAATATATATATCTGTTAGAACTCAAGTTTTTTAATGACAATTTGCACGCTTCTTCTACAGGAAGAAATTTATTAATAGATAACTATTTATAGAAATCTAAAATTTCAGTCTCTTCTTATTACTGAAACTGAGTAGAAAGCAGTTCAATATATTATTGTTCTACTACTTCTATTTTTTCACTATACTGAAGGTATTTCAGCATTGAAAGTAGGCTGACCGTTGGGACGGGATAATCCCAGGGATTTCGGGATGGGATGGGATTTTGGGATTTTGGGATGGGAAATGGGAATCCTGTCCTATCCCAAAATCCCAAAATAATGCCAAGACAAGGATAGGAATCCTGTTTTTATAGTTAATCCAGATAGGAATTCTATTCTATTTTAAAATTAGGATTAGAAATCCTGTTTTGTGTAATTAAACGGGATAAGATTCCCGTTTTAATTCTATATTTAGGATAGAATAGAAAACAGGATACTAAGAGAAAAACTGGGATAGAATAGAATAAAATAGGAAATTCCTATAATAAAATACTATATATACTATTATAAAAGATTATTATAGACTATATAGTTTTAGCTTATATTAGACTGTAAGCAATACTACTGTTCAGCTATAAAAAGATACTATAATTAAAGATAAAAAAGAATAAAGATTAAAATAAAAATATATTTAATAAAAATATATTTAATAAAATAAAGCTAGTAATAAGTCTTTTATTTAATTATATTAGCAGTTCTAAGATTTTAATAAACTTAACTTTAGTTATTACTTTTAATTATTACTTTTAATTATTATATTCCATATATTAAAGGCGTTTTGTATTTTATTTTAGGATTTTAGAATAGAAAACAGGAATCCTATTCTATTCCAAAATCCCAAAATAATACCAAGACAAGGATAGGAATCCTGTTTTTATAGTTAATCTGGATAGGAATCCCATCCCATTTTAAAATTAGGATTAGGAATCCTGTTTTGTGCAGTTAAACAGGATAGGATTCCCGTTTTAGCCCTATGTTTGGGATGGGATGGGAAACGGGATGCCAAGAGGGAAAACAGGATGGGAAATGGGATACCAAGAATGGGATGGGATGGGATGGGAAATTCCCATTCCCGTCCCATCCCATCCCAATGGTCAGCCTAGTTAAAGACCAGAGTCTAATTAAAAACTATATAAATAAGAAATCTAATTAAGTTAGATTCTTTACTAATCTATCAGAATAAATATATTTACTATAAGGACAAGCTTACTGAGTATACTGACTACTTAATAAAGAATAGCTGGAAGCCTAAGCTTAATAATACTAATAAATTACCTGGTATATATTCTGTACTACTTAAAGAGATATATAATCCTCTTAATTCTTCTTTTAATTAACCAGGTTTTATGGAGTATATATCTTACTAACCAGAACAGAAACTCTCTACTAAGATAAGTGCCTTTCTTTCTGGCATTATATTAGATATTTCTAAAGGATCTGAGTGTCAAGGATATCTACTATTCAGGGTAGAAGACCTGTCAACTAGGTAAGGATACGCAGGCTGGGAGAGAGAGAGAGAGAGATCAAAGGCAGGCAGTAGATATTATTCAGACAGGAGACTGATTCTTGATCTCCTCCTACTACTAACTATTCGCTAATTTATAGCTGAAGACTCTGTACGTAAAGGGTTCAGATTTCCCGTTGAAAACCAAACCGTTGATGGCCTGATGTTTTTCATTGGTAGCCGATTGTCCATGCACCTGGGTCAGGGTATCCTGTACGGCCATCAGGCCGAATCGCTATTCCATCAGTGACAGGTGTAGCTCACGTGTATGGGATTGATTGTCTTAAGGTCTAAATCTACTTTACAGAGATTCTTTGGTGTTGTGGTCAGGTCACGTGGTTACTGCCTTAGGCTCCCATAGGCTCTAACATATCACTATATTACCGATTGGAAGGTGTTTGGAATTGGGCTATAAGTGATACGAAGCAAGAAAATACTTTATGATTCATGTTTTTGCGGCCATTTCTAATATGCAATGCTGTCATGGAGTTTTCGCGCCAGATAAGTATGAGTTAATACACTTCACACGGCACAGGGCAGACCAAGACCCCAGCCGCACCCCTTCGGTCTCAGCAGGACAAATCACAATCTCTGAGAGTACAACTCGCCCATATCTACGATGGCTAGGGATACTCTTTGACAAGAAGCTTAGCTTTAAATATCATGTCAAGGATTTGACTGCAAAGGCTCTGACTATTGCAAATGCCCTCCGCAGCCTGTTGAATACAGTGCGAGGGGTTAACTCCTATCTCATGCGGCAGGCTATCACAGCCTGCGTCCTCCGTAAAGTCTACTTTGGCGCAGAAACCTGGTGGCCAGGCCGGGCATATCCAGGTCCCTGCTCGGGTTTAATCTCAAGCCAGGTCCAGAGACACTTAGATCAGATAACAAAGGTGATACTCGCTGGTGCTAGGGCGGTCCTCCCTGTCTACAGCACAACCCAGTACCCGTACTCCACCGGGAATCAGGTCTTCTACCAGCTGAAGTTGAGCTAGACTATAGAGCTGCCTCTGCCACAGTCTGTCTCCGCTGCCTGGGTCCCTACCACCCCCTCTGAAGAAGGGCAGAAAGAATAGCCCGAGCCGGACACTCAAGCAGCCGCTTTGCGCGCCGGGTGCTATCTCTACCAGAATCAGAGTAATTAAACCCGCTATAACATGCTCCATGGCTCTCACAAGAATCACGAGAAGCTGCTTATCTGTGTATTAAGGCACCTACACGATTAAAGAAGGAGGCAGCTAACAGGTTCCAAGACTTCTATACTTCTCTTCCAAGCACTGATATAAAAGTCTTTACAGACAGCTCTAAACTGGCAAATAGAATGACAGGGGCTGGCTTTACTCTATATTAATCTGGAAAGTAATTTCTGCAATCCTCTTTCTCTCTCAGCCTAAATAAAGAGGTCTTTGATACTGAGGCTGAAGCAGCTTTAGCTAGAATTAAAGCAGCATCAGCACTCAATACAGCTTACTTTGCCACTAATCTATGGATTTGTTTAGATAACCTAGATGTAGCTATATAGCTTCTATCACCATTTACAGGCTCATTACAAAAGATCTTTGAATCCTTCCAAGCCACCGCCATGACCTGGCTCACACGGAAGAGATTTCCATATACTGATGGCGGCTCTGTACAGATCCTTTGGGTCCCAGGGCATGTATGTATTCCTGAAAATGAAGCAGCTGATCTAGCTGCTAAAAAAGGAGCTGCTATGGATCCTCCTTCTTCAAAGAAATGGTTATATGCCTCACTAAAGTGGCAAGCCAAAGCCGATGCCGCATCTGCTCTAGAAAGACATTGGCAGTCTACAGCTCCACAATCTTACCAGAACCTAGGGATTACCTCCTCCCCTCAGTGCCCTGATGAGCTGCGAATCCCACGCCCCCTACTCGTGCGGATTCTGGCTGCCTGTACGGGACATGGTGACTTTACAACTTATCATGACTGTTTCAATCATAAAGATGCGCATCTTCTATGCCGCTGCGGCGCAAGAAAGTCCTCAATCCACTTCTTCTTCTGCCGTGTTGCAAAGAGACGTCTGCCCCGACCCCCAGGGGCCCCCACCGAAACAATCCCCTACCTCCTAGGCACTTCAAAAGGCGCAGTAAAACTAACCGCCTGGCTATCTGAGACCCGTTTCTTTGAGGATATTTGCCCACGACATCCCCCATCTCAGCAAGGCTGAGATAACATACCCCCGTCTTTTCTTTATTTTTCTCCCTTTTTTAAAAAAAAAATACGCAGTGGAGGCAGGATGGGTCATGGAGTGTAGGCGGACCCGTGCAGCTGGCATTACCCCTCTACCTGCTACTGCAGGCCCTTTTATGCTCCCTTTCTTGACCGCGGCAGCTATGTAAACGCACCAAAGTCCCATACATGTACATAGAACTAGAACTAGCAGCTAGTTAGAGACACCCAGGGCTTACCCCCTGGCGGCCTTTGCCCCAATAGGAGATGGTGGGTCACATGCCTCGGCGGTCAACCACGGCCGTTAAATATAACCTAACCTAACCTAACCTAACCTAGCTTCAGAAACCAGTGATCAACCTCTGTGTATGGCAGTAGACCATTCAATGGAAATATAATCCCCTGCTCCTGCCACCTGCGGCGCCGTAGCATGCTATTCCCCTACTACCTGCGGCTCTCCGAGCTGCAATTAACATATCTACTCTAGTATAGCTCTGAATAGGATGTATCTAGTTAAACCAATTTTTATACAGAAGAAAAAGAGCAGAGGAAGTATATAATTATATAGAAAACCCAGAAATAGTCTAATACTTTCTGTTTAACTATAAATAATAGAAATTATACTGTAGAGATCTATTATGTATATTGAAAGACAGATTAGGACAGGAAATATCTACAGAATATAAAATTAACAGAGAAGAAGACGGTAAGCTAAATATAAAGGGAGTTAAGACTATACTACACTTCACTATAGCTATAGGGCGCTTGAACACGGGAGATAGAGCACAAGAACATTTGTAATTAGTTGACGTTACAGAACCAGCAAGGAGGCTACATGCAGCCTTAGGCTGCGCACAGCCAGAGGAATCAATCAATCAATCACTCCAGCGGACTGTATAGGGACCGTGCCGTCACACACAAGACTGTATTAGCCTATCTCAGATCTTATATCAAATCTATAGATGACGCGGTCATTATTTTTGTATCTTGCTGGATCTGCATAGATGCTATATTTAAATATAACAAAATTGAAATATAATATAGAAAGCTCTGGATTATGCCCCTATGGCCAGTATTGCCCTCAAAACCCAAAGCTTGAAAATACCGCTGCTTAGCTTCTCGAAGACTTGCAGTGACCTCAATTAGCATGTCCTCTATCATGTGGAATATACCGAACATATCCTCTGGAAATTGTGGGAGAGCTTGTTTGATTCCTTCTGCCACTGAAGCTCGGCTCGCAGGTAACTGACATCGTATGTGAGATATCTTCATATAGCTCACTAGATAACAGTCACATCTATGAATTATACCCGCTTGGCCCTTCCCCGTTGTGAGGATTGGGCGTCTTCTGGTGGTACATGGTCGGCATGCGGATCTGCGCGATGAGGTCTTCGAACTCCTCCAACGCGTTCATCACACGATCGTATTGGGCCAGGTTGCGGCCGTTGTTGCGTGCTTCAATGAAGGGAGCCCTCGCGTCACGAATGGCCCCTCGTGCCCAGATACGCACCCGCCGCACTGCTTCCGTGAAGTGATCTTCCGACCACACTTCCCACCAATTCTGCAAGTTGTCGGTTTCTGTCGTCTCCTCAATGAAGCCCAGCTGTTGATACATTTTCTGGTGCACGTCGTTAAAGCGAAGCTCAAATCTACTATCGCGTATATACTCCAGGGCCGAGAATGCCTAGTCATCTTTATCAGCTGCTGGTTGCAGCTAGTTTAGTCATGGTGAGCTTGCCACTTACCGTCTGGAATAGTGAGAGCAACTCGTTGGCTGCCTCCTCAGTGTCTTTCTTCACGCACGCCTTTGCTTTCTTCTTGATCTTAGCAGGGTCAATTGGGTTCTTGAGCTCGAAAATCTTTCCCTTGGCGATGTTGAGTTCACTCTCCACAGCCATAAAGGGGTACGGGTTATGTCTCGACCCAAGGGCCTCTGCAACACGTTCATTCGGTTTTGCCGGCTGTTTCCCCTCTCTGCTCCCCACAGCTGGCTTATTGGCTAGATCATGGTTGGCCTCGTTCCATACATTTTGCCAGAACTGAGCGTCGATTGTATCAAATGCCCTGAACCGAGCTCCGGAAGAAAGTGTTCCGCTCGCGGCGGATTGAACAAACCAGGTGATTAACTTCTTGTCCATTGGGTGCTCAACATCGAGACCACTATACTGCTCCTTGGTCGGCAAAGCCGGGAGGTCTCTCACGTCCATCACGGAACCCCCACAGTAGCCAGTCCGCGTCAAGAACGCTTTCTTGAGAACTCGCGCCGCTTTGGTGATGGTCCAAATCTCGCCAATGGATGGATACGCCGCAATTATAATGGTGATTGCGATATCCCCAACCTTGATGATCGATATATCTTTGCCAGCACGTTTCTCTAGGCCTTGTTTTTTAACCGTCACAGCAAGCTCTTGCGTTTCTAGAACGCCCACATCTCGTTTCACAAAGTCACTGCTGCTCTCTCCACAGTATTCACTATCCATAGTGCAAAGCTTCATGGTGCACATGGCTTTGGGAGTTGGTGCTTTCTTTACCGTGCAGCATGCAGCCCTGCTGCGACCCCCTATTCAGATCTTAGTTAGTCCATGGAAGCAATGACGGGGATAATACTGGGAAGGGCCTTACAATCACAGGTGGAATAACTATCACCCAGTACTGACTTCGCAACCTGAAGCTCGGTCGAATTACATTTAGCATTCGCGCAATCTCGACCACCTTTGCCGCCCTCCCAGTGACAGCCGGTGAGCTCGACTGGGGTAGGACAGCAGTATTTCTGCCCCTTAGAGTAGCAGTCATCGTAATTTGTGAAGACAGCTGCTTTTCCACTGGGACAGTCCTTTCCACTGGATGTAGACAATGTCAGGTAATTCAATGCAAATAGGCGGGATGTCGTTACTTACCATGCCGCGTAGGAACAGCCCTTGGTGACTTCCTTATAGTCAGGGTCCGGACAACAGAAGACTTTATACCCGCGACCACACTTGTCAGTATTGCCATCATTGGTAAATCCGCCGCCCCATGACGAGCGGATACCGTTAATGTTCATTTCACCCGCCTCGCACTGTCCACTGCAGTCTGAACGAGACCCGAGCTGACCGGTGTTGTCACCCCGCCAACTGCACCCCTTCGGGGCAGCATTTGATGGACAACAAACCGGCTTTCCGCAGTGCTACAATACTGTCAGCCGTGGGATTGGGAGTGCACGTGTGGGCTGGCACTTACGCAGCTTTTCTTGCCACATCCAGCATCATCCCAGCCGACAACGGTATAACCACTGCCACAGGCTTTGGCCATGGCTTGATCGTCATTCAAATTCACGCACTTTCCAGAGTACCGAAAACACTTCTGCCCATTGAACGCTGCCAGGTCTTCAATCACAGACTTGGGATTCGATACCGCTTTGCTTATACTCTGGAGCGTTGATGTAGAGATAACTTCTTTGCTGAGAAGACCTGAATGAGCGGAGTATTTATCATCATCTAGATCCGTAGTCAGCATGCCAAGATGGCTATGTACTATGATAGGTGCAGCTATACATACCCAGATCCGAGGCCCAGATCAGGGCGCCTCCCAAACCAATCTCATTTGCCCAGTCAATTTTCTGTTTGAATGTCGTCTTGTCATCATACGAGATCCATTGGTTATCATCAAAAGTAAAGTAGTTAACTGCAGCCTCTTTGTCATGGGTTGGGGTAATCGTAGCTCGTTTTTTTGCGGAACTTCCCTGTAACAGGCTCATTATCTCATAGTACGCGAGCATACCGCCGGTGTTAGAGCAGGGTCCAGCATCAGAAGCACCACTAAAGGGACACCCTGGCGTTTTGCAATTAGGGTCTGCAAGGGTGAACGCCCGGCCATAGAATCCAACACCAAAGACCACTTGTGCAGGCGGTATACCCACTCTCCAGAAAAGATCTAACGCAGTTTTGATCTCAGTCAAGTTGGTATGTCCCTGCACAATACTTCCGATTGGATTATTAGAGTCCCAAACCCCATGGAGGTCGTAGGTCATCACATTAATCCAGTCCGCGTATTTAATCATATTAGGTAGGTCAAACCAGCGAAGATACCAGTATGAGGAGGGGGCAGTAAAGGTCAGACCGAATTTACTTCCACTAGCGTCAAAGGTCTCTCTCAGTGTCTTGAGTAAGAGAACATAATTTTTGGTGTCCTCAGGTTTGCCGCCTCTGTCACCCGCACCGGGATACTCCCAATCAAAATCGACACCGTCAAACCCTAGTACCGAAGCATTAGTGACATATTACAAGTATCTTATGCAACTAGGAGTAAAGCACATACCGTATTGCCTCAAGAAGTGCACTACATTGTTGGCGAATGTTCTCCGTTTTGTCTCATCCCCAGCAATTTCTCCGAGCAACGGTTGAGTCGCGGTACCATTGTCAGAGAATGTCCAACCTCCAATACTAACAAACACACTGATATCTTGTTTAATGGATTTGATATTGGTCGTGTCTTGGAAAAGGCTGGCTGGGGTTGAAGAATCCATCGCGACTACCTGATGCGACGAGGGATCAATTGAGGCGAATGCAAAAAATACACTATTCGCTCAATTAGTATCTTGATATTGGGGTATCTGCTCGGAGTACTGACTGGGTGAGTGCATCTAAGGGCAAATCGGTCGGTGTCATCTTGTGACAGCTCTTACGAGCCATCCACGCCTCATAGTATCCGATGACCTTGTTCTCTAACACGCCTACCGAGGCTTTGCCACCCGGTGGCGTAGGGTTTAAGACACAGTTGCTCTGACATCCCTCTGAGAGGTGTTAGCAAACTTTGAATCTATTTGGTTAAGTGTAGCCTACTCCCACAGAAGTCCTTGGTTGTTCCGCACTATAACCCATAAGTCACTCGGCTATGTCCAATTTGAAATAGAGGCATCACTTACAAATCCAAACTCGCTGCAGCATGTATTCAGTGGACAAGTCTGCCCAGGTTGCTCCGCATACTGTCCGCACTCGGCTTTAGCATCACATTGCGAAATGCACCCCGTACCACAGTATGTAGGGCCGTACCCGCAGACGCCAGTGCCACCGCAACAGGCGCCATTGCTACAAGGATTGCTAGCACTGCATAAATAGTCCCGACGGTTGAGGGTATTGTTCTTGTGGGTTTCTAAGCTACCAATACTGCCGTATTCATGATGATGATGGCGAGCAACGTGCCTCGAATGGGCATCGTGGCTTGAGTGAGATCCTAGGCTCTCATCCTGGATGGTACTTCTGGGAACAGCAGGTTTATTTGAGTCATGGGACCAAAAGACCACACACAGCGCACTAACTAGGATACCAAACAGGATCCCTCGCAACGAGTGTCCTCGTTTGATGGGCGAAGTTTGATCAGCAACCATGTCAATGGCTATGGCCAGCTCTAAGTATGATCGTGTGTAAGGAGTGAATAAAGTGAAGACTGGGCGAAAGGACAAAAGAGAAAAGAAGGAAAGGAAATGAGGTAACGACTAAAAGAGAGAATACAGAGATCAGAACGAGGGGGAGGGTCAGAGCAAAGAACTTTATACATCGAGAATCCATTTATTAGGATTTGGAAGAAGCTTCCTTTTACAGCAAGCTTCAGGAGGCTTCTTCCAAGTGCCAACGTATAGGCTAATATTATTCTCCTCATGTTTGTCTCACTAAAACCTACAGAATACTGAAGGTTCTTTGGAATAGATAAAAAGCATGTGGCGCCATTCGAGTGGATTCAAATCTCTGGTTTGACCCCATAATTTGAAACTCACAAAAGGGTTTGTTTGGGTTGGTAAAATGAGTCTGATGCAACATATATCACTGATTGCTACGAGAGGGCACTCCGATTTGGTAACTGAGTCCCATTTTCGATGTGAGCTAATTAAAAGGTGACGCTGCGCTAACAGGCCCCCACTCCGGGCATACATAGCTCCTTTCGGAGTACACTGCGCAAATGGTAACTTTAGAAAATTTCCATTTCGGTATGTAGTTAGGCCTTATATGATTCGGACCCCCTATCGATAGGATTATTTAAAATCTATAAAAGGGATTTTTGGGCTATCATATATAATGAATATGATTTTAATAATTTTAATACAACATAGAGCAAGATTTTAGGCAGTTTATTGTTTAATGAATTTAATTCTTATGTGCCAGATTTATCAAACTGTGAACTTATATATCATGTAGTTAAACACTGTATGCGCTATTTTATTGGTTTTAAGTTATAACCTGGCGGACCTCCACCAAATATATTAGCCCTAAGCGACCATTTTGGTAGTGGGCCTGATTAGTGTCTCTAAACCCCTGAGGCTCGAGTTTGTCGGCCGAGCCGAACTCGGGCCGAATCCGGTCTGGGTCGGCGGCTTCTTAGCTATGATTTCCCTAGCTCTTACTACGTTACATTGACTCTAAATTGCTGTTTTAGTACAAATCTAGTCATTCTTCGAGTCTCCTGAAGACTCTCTCTGAGATTGCTAGTTAATGTGGTTTTAGATGTCTTGGGTAATGTTAGGGGCTAGGTCCAGCCTGCCTGAGGCACCAAGACTGCTTTATTCCCTGTTGATCCAATCCTACAATACAAAATCCCTCATTTCCTGTATGATTTATTCTTTCTCTCTTTCTTCTCTACGTTTGATGGTTCATTGGATCGCCCCTTTAGATACAATATACACAATTTATCAACGTGTTTAGGATCATCACAGGTAACGCCTTGCGGGCTTTTAATTTGTCCGTCTATATGGAGTATGGTTAAACGAAAATATAGGATAGGAACTTCATTGGTAATAAAGTTCCCGAAAGAGTTCTAGACTTTCAGTCAGGTGATTAGGGTGACAACTGATACATCGTAAAGTTCAAATTATGATGGAAAGCTATCGATTCGCGCTGTAATGGAGGCCTTTAGTAGTCCACTTTTGTCCTCAATTTCCAGCAACCAGAAACACTTCAAGCTTGGCTAAGCAACGCTTAGGAAAAAAAGAACCATCTTCAATAATTAAATCCTAGTTTGCTTGCGGGTGCAACATCCGGCAGCCTTGTGACCCACTGCAATATGTGTGACAGACGAAAGGTGCCTTGGCTACGGAGATGATGTGGACACCTCCGGAGATTTAACTTTCAAACTCGGATTATCACGAGAGCATGAATGTCCTGCTTCCCAGACCGGTTATGCTTTTCCACGGGCTTTTCTGGGATTTGGACCTTACTAAATAGCTCTATCGTCCATTTATGCATGACAGTTAGATACATCCAGCCTTTTTGTCGCTTGAGTGTTTATGGTTGTTCCCATAACTAAGATGAGAGGAGTATGGACTGCCTTACCAGCCCTGCTGATTCAATCAGCACTGGGCCAACAGCCTGCTGGTACTCAGATGTTTGTAAACTATCCAGGCCTCAGTGATGGATGCATGGAGGCATTGGCAACCACTGTCTCTTGCCCGCCCTTTCTCCCTGTTATCTCTCAGAAGTGAGTAAAGGTCAGTCCACAATTTGTCCAATACTAAGGTGGGCTAGCAATGCCGTTCTGGATGAAGATACTGTCAGAGAACTCTGTGTCGCTGGTTGCTATAGCTCCTTGAAAGCAGCTAGAGCTACTATTCAAGCTGCCTGCACTGCGAGTACTGATATGATTGTCTATGAAGGTGTAGCATACCCAGGTAGTATACCCTCATCCCAGCTACAGCTTTATTATTAATGCAGAACCCAGCTACGTTCATCGCTGATAACTACATGTTAACATTTGACGTGTCTTGTAAAAAGGACGAGTGAGTGACTCATACTGCTGCCCTTAGTATCTAGTATTCAGCCCTGACATCTTTTGCCCGCAGAGCGGGAAATTACTGCGACCCTCTATTCCTCTCCAGGGAAAATTCTGTCGCACCAAACATGACTGCTGCCTGCTCGGACTGCTGGTTGGGAGTATTGGAGGCTCAACTAAACCACCCCTTGGGATATGACGAAGGATTGGAGAAGAAGTTCAATTCCTTGACATCCAGCTGTAGTGCCACAGGTTATAGCGTCACTTCTCCAGCCCCATACGCGCTGAACGCAACAGCAACAGCAACTTCAGTTATTACCACTGCTACTTCCACACCAGCCTGCGAGGTGTCTTACGAAGTGGGACCGTCAGATAACTGTAACTCTGTGGCGAAGTCTCTAAGTGTCTCTACATATAGCTTGCTGCAAGCCAACTACTTGGACCTGTATTGTCAGACCTTTGCTACCCTGGTGGGTCAGAGCCTTTGCGTGCCTCCTAAATGCACCACATACACTTGGCAGGTGAGTGATACATGCGACAGTGTGGTGGGCAGTCTCAATAATGTTACTCTGCCGCAATTCCTCGCATGGAATCCAAATTTCAACTCTTTGTGTCTCAATAGCCCCTTCTTCATTGGATATGAGGTCTGCATAAGGTAAGCTGGTGTGGGGCTTATTGCTTGACAATCGGGCTATAATATATGTCTGTTAGGTCCAGGAGGATGCTAACTTGCTCTCATCAGTCCTCCAGGTGGTTACCTCAATCACACCTTAGATGGTAATTATGGCTCAACACCAACCGGTGATACCAGCGGCATCGCAGCGGTCCCGACCAATGCTGTACATGGTAGCTCCCGCAACTGTAGTCGGTGGTATATAGTGCGTTGTGATTGGATTGTTAATATTTTGTTCATCGAAGAGATCACTAACTATCTCGTTAGGTTGTGGAAGGGGATGAATGTGGCCTGGTTTCCCTGGCCCAGTCCATTTCTCTGACAGACTTTTACTTTCTCAATCCGGAGATTGACGAGAATTGTAGTAATCTGCAGCTCGGTAAGGCGTACTGTGTGAAGCCCGTTGGCTCTATCACCAGCTACCCCAATTATACCGTCACTGGTGTTTTGCCAATCACTGTCACCCCTGCCACATTCCCATCTGTGAATACCGCCATACCGACACGCACGAACGATCCTGGCTATGAGTACATCGAACCCACGCTTCTCCCTCCTGCCCCGGGAACAATTCCAGACTGCTATCTATATCAGAACCCCCCTCACTTCACCAAGCTCTGCCGGGATCTTGCGTGGGATAACAACATATCGGGAGAAGACTTGGCAAAATGGAACCCTAGCCTAGAGAAAGATATGGCCAACTGCACTCTCACGTCGACATATAGTTACTGCGTCAAGTACAAAAATAGCGCTTGTGAGTACCAAATCCGTTATTGGAAGATATAGAAAGGCTGACTAGATGTAGCAACCGACTATACCTCTTACTGCCTGCCTATTGATGCCACAGAGGCCGGCACAGTCTCCAATTGTAACTGCTTCACTTCGATCGATGGTTATGACGCCGGAGGTATGTAACGCCTTACTTCGCCGAGAATTCCTATTAACCACGTGGAGCAGACTACACATGTGATGACATGGCATCAGCCTATGGGGTGACATTGGCCGAGCTTTTAGCCTGGAACGCTTGGCTATCAGGAGATTGCGACACCGCCCTCTTTGCTAATCTCAACAATACTGCCAGCCGCGCTGTTTGTATTGGCGTTGGCTCTAAGAGTGCTGTCACAACCACAGCCAGCACTAGATCTAGAACCGCAACTAGAACAACGGCAACCGTGGGACCAACTCAAACTGGAGTTGTGTCTGGATGTCATCTATTCCACACTGTGATAGACGGCGAGGATTGCCTATCGATCGAGAGGGAGTATGGTATTACCCTGGCTCAGTTCTACCAATGGAACCCGAGCATTGGCAGTGCTTGCAACAATCTCTGGTTGGGCTACGCGTACTGTGTAAAGGGGCCGGGCTCATCCACCACGGCCACGTCCTCAATTGTGAGTCCGAATGGTCCCACGCAGACGGGAACTGCACCCAACTGCGATCATTACTACACAGTTGTGAATGGTGATTCATGTGATCATATTGAGACCACGTATGGGATCAGTTTTGCGCAACTGTATGAGTGGAACCCTATGATTGGCTCAAACTGTCAGACTTTGAGAGTTGGATATTCTGTTTGCGTGGCAGTCTCTGCAACTGTACCCACACAACCTGGGACTACATCTGATTGCAATCGCTACTATACTGTTGTTAGTGGTGATTCATGCAGCCATATCGAAACAATGTATGGAATAACCTTCGCTCAACTGTATGGGTGGAATCCTGCCATTGGATCGGACTGTCAGACTTTGGGTGTCGGGTATGCTGTTTGCGTTGGATTATCCTCTTAGGTATACTGTCTCGGATCGAATAGCGATTCGGCCTATACCGTATACCGTGGTTCACCGCCCTCTATATATAGGTTGTCCTTAGGCTGCGGCATATCGTACGACTTGGATATGGGAACCACATCCAAGTCCGCAAATTGCGGATGTTGGATATCGGGATGAGATCCAAGTCCAACTGCAGATATCCATTAGATGTCCAACAGTATATCTTTGATATCTAACAAATATCTACTCTAGCATAAAATTTGCTAACCTATCCTATTCCAGACTATTAAGTAGTAGTTATAAAGCTGACAAATCCCTGTTTTAAAACTGAAATATTTTAGATTTAGCTATAATAATACTACTCTATATTTTTCCTGACTTACTGAATAAAATAATAAGAAATGACCTTGTATTTATTATTAAATATTATTTAAATAATAGACATAGAATAAACTATAGAGTATATATAGTGTTGGTTTTTATAGATAAGATAGATAAGATTAGACTTGTTAGGCCCAGCCCACGAAACCCGGCCCAACCCGGCCCAACCCGCCAAGAAATGGGCTGGGTTTGTGTATATGAAAGTCCATACCGGGCCGGGTTATTGACTATCCCAGCCCATGGGTCAACGGGTTAACCCGCGGGTTGCCAAGAGATAAAATACAGTAAATATATTATTTATCTATAGTAATATAAATAAATTACAGTATTAAGAGACTGTATTCTATCAAGAATATAAATCATTGCTCTACTAGGAAAGGATCTACAGCTATAGGCTCCCGCGGGTGGTTCACATATATATATTTTGACCCATGGATGGTTTGTATACAATCTTGACCCGGCCCAAACTGTTAATTGCAGCTCGGAGAGCCGCAGGTAGTAGGGGAATAGCGTGCTACGGCGCCGCAGGTGGCAGGAGCAGAGGACTGGGTTTCTATTGAACGATCTACTACCATACACAGAGGTTGATCACTGGTTTCTGAAGCCATTGGGGTGCGGTAAAGATTTTACCGCAGTGGGTAGCACATGACCCGCATGTGCTACTATATCACCTGCAGGCACTGTAAGGTGCGCCTAACATTACCTTCCTCTCTTGGAAAGCCCTAGCCTCAGGGCTTTATAGGTGCTTATTTATGTGAGTGTAGAATCCTAGCTTATATAGGGTTGGTTACAGGCGTGTAGTATAGATATTCAGTGGTTCTGAGCAGTGTATGATTTTACACTTGGAAATAGCCTCATGTTTCCTATTTCAGGAAGTATAGGAATATTAGTTATATTATATAGGGTCTGATCCTGATTCCTGCTGTGTACTCTATAGTATAAAATGCTCGGTTCTATTTACTTACTTAATATTAGGCAGTGATATTATATTATAATTATATTATACTATTTACTGATTCTGTTATCTAGGCACCACTTATATTAGATATTACCTGCTATATAGTAATTTCTTATATACTGTTTCTTATTTTTTTTCTTAATTATTAATCTCTTCTATACCTATAGTAAGTGCCTTATTTTCCGTATTATACTGTATGTTTAGATTATTCTGATTACAGTATCCTATTCTGCTTATTATATTGTCTATATCTTATAGTTTTAAGATCTTCTAAGCTATTAGATATAGCACTATTATATCTATTATTCTGTTAATAATTATATTCTGTATTAAGCTTTTTCCTGCTTTCTTCTTAGCTTTATTTATAGGCTTATGTGTATGCTAATTCCACTGGTATATTTAATAGATAGCTAAATATTGATCTACTGCCACTTATATACTCTACCGTGCTAATAGACACAAGAAGAAGAACTATGCCTGTTACCTATATTACTAGCAGACTTCAGTCTCTACTATATCTTCTCCTGTATCTTTTTCTTTTAGGAGCTTTTTACTGAGTCTATTCCTGGTTTTCTCTTTAGAGAAAATAGTTATATTACTAGATTCTTTTAGTAAGGATAATATCGCGCTTTTAGCTTTCTTAAGTAGAGAAGATCTCTTATTCTTCCTCTCTTTAAAAAATAAGGCTCTCTTATCTTTAGAAGACAACGCGGGTATCTCCTTACCTGAAAATAGTGAAAAGTAATATCTGCAGTGTCTCCAGCACTATGATTTAGCTCTACCAGGGATAAGTATTATCTATATAATCTGTAAGGACTATTATATCTGTTTCTATTATATAAGTAGTTATTACTATTATATACTGGCAAGTAATATCTCCTAATCCCTAATACTGGATTATACTGATATATGCAGTAGGTACTCACTAGGGTCATTATACAGGCAAACATGATATTAATGGCATGTCACTGCTTTAAGCAGTCTCTGTCTACTGTTATAATAAAGAAGACTCTTAAAGCTATAGTTTATACTCTTAACACTGCTATTTATCCTGTATATATAGTACCCAGTACAGTCTGCCGCGGCAGTAATAGCCTAGATTCAGGATTACCAGCTTTTTCTACTTTATCTCCTGTGAGTCCCTACTCTCTCTACCAGTATATACTAGATATATTTATTTCTCTCTTTAAGTAAGTCCTCTTCTGCTAAGCAGACTCCACTGGAGCTGACCTGCAGGTATAGAAAATAAAGTATTTTTATCTTTTAATTATAATTAGAATAGATAGGGTATAGTCTTTAGATATTTCTATAAGTTTTTTTTTTTATAATTTATTTCTGCTACTTAGTAAACTATATCCGCAATATCATAATTTTATAGGCCTACTATAGATATCAGTACTCTAGATACAGTCAGTCTTCTCTTTTATATATTAATATTTATTTAATACTTAAGTTTCTTATATATACTCTAATAGTTTCCAGATATTATCTATAGATATATATTCTATTTATTAAACTAGATATAGTATTTCTTTATCCTGAATATATTTTTCTATTAAGATATATTCTATCTTCTATTCTTTATCTTTATTAATCAGGATAGATAGTAACTGTATCTTCTAACCTTTCTATTAGTAATATAGCTCTAGTAATAAGATATAGAAAACTAGATATAAATAGCAGTATTATAGCAGTAGTCTTAGTTTATAAGACTATATTTTCTATATATTAATAATTATAAACAGTCCTAACTGGCAGTAATTTAATTTAATATTCAGTTATATAGTAAAGATATTCTTTATCTATATTAGTATTTTATCTTTTATTTTAAATTATATATCTATACAGTATTTATTATACTGTATTACTATTATAGTTTTAGATTTTTTAAGTATATTTTTTACTATATTATATATTTACTAAAGCTCTTTAGCTCTTTCTTTTACTTCTAGAGCTTTTATATACAGTAATCTATTATTAATATTAATCTATAGATTTAATATAAAGCTTATTAATATATAGAAAGATATTATTTTAGTAATACTATAGACTATAGTATTATATATATACTGCACTGCTAGTAGCCAGTAGACCCAGTTATTCTAAAGGAAATTACAGTATATATATAGATAATACTCTAGTATTTAATTCTGATACTTAGTTTACCTATCTATTTATAGATAGAAAGCAGTAGATAATTTTTACTTTATTCCTAAATAATTATATAGTACTGTTCAGTAGTAGCTGGTAAATACTATATCTTTATTAGTTACCAGATATTATAGATTTCTAAATATAGAGACTATTATAGTATATATTAACTCTATAAGATATAGTATATTAATATCTTTACTATATAGAATATAAATAGTATATTTAGTTAGTGTATTTATTATAACTAATAATATATTATAGATCTTCCTTTACTACTTATTAGAGAATAATTCTATAATAAAATCTATAGTTATAATATCTTCTGGCCTTACAGGAATTAGAAGTGGAGCTAATTTTCTATAAGATATATATCTATATACTTTAATATATTAATAGATATTATATATTTTTATATATTCTTTTATATTAGTATATATATTATATTAATAATACTTATATTTAATAATATTATAGATATAGTTAAAGCTAGTGTAATTTCTCTATAATAGATTATAATTTATTTTTATAATTTCTTAAATTATTACTTTAATTTTAGATATATAAACTATATTCTTATATCTGAGAAGCCTATCTTTATTTATTCTCTAGAGTAAATTACCTTACTTCTTCTGACTCTCTTACTATATATACAGATATTGATTTTTTGTTTTTATATTCTTCTATTAGATATAGTAGATAAGCTCTATTATTAATTCTATAGAATTAAAATATACTAATTTAGATCTAATTACTTTAGTAACTATAATCTATAGTACTTAGTAATCTAGAATACTAGTAATACTAGCAGTATAATTCTTATCTATAGATATATTTTAATCTCCTATAGAAATTTATTACTCTTAAGTATTTTCTCTTTTACTTTAATATCTTTTTATCTATTTTATTTAAAATATAGAACTTTTTTTATTAGATATATCTTTTTAATTTATAGTCTTTTTTATTGCCTGCTATAGCTTTATCTATAGAGTTTGCAGTATTAACTACAGGTTAATTTCTTCTTTAATAGATATATAGTCAGGTCTTTAACTAGATATATCTATAGGATTTTTATTTTCTAGATAGTACTCTATTTTAAAATTAAATATACTGAGTAGCTTTATCTAATAAGTCTAATATCTATTTAGCTACTTTAGTAATAGCTATATAAAGCTACTAAGATTAGTATAATTAGACTTAATAGTAACAGGATACTTACTCTTTTCTAGATAATACTATTATATTTTAAATATCTTAATAATTATAAGAAGCTTCTTATTATATACTCTATATCTATATTCTATATCTATTATTTTTCTAGAATAGAAAGTGATGGAGTGCCATGCCCTATTACTATATAATTAAGAGATTATTATACTTATAGTAAAGTCAGATATATCTATTTCTAATATAATCTATAGTATAGAATTAAAATATTTAAGAACTGGTATTTTCTTAAAAATCTCTTTTAATTTCTTAAATACTTTTTTTATCTTTAATAAGAGCTTAATTTTCTTATTTAGAAAGTTATACTTTTACTAATAGAGATTCTTTTTATT